CCCCCCGGGTATATCTAGGGGTGTCTGGGCGAGACGCTGCCCTAACGCGTCCACTGAACCCCTGTGTTTGGTGCAATTGCTAAGGTGCCAGACAGTGCATCCAATCTCAGTGTACATAGCCCCTCCCACAGCGACCTGACCCATAATCCTCTCTGTTCCCATGCAGCATCTTCTTGAAGGAGTTGGAGAAGTATGAGCAGCTTCCGGAGGACGTCGGACATTGTTTCGTCACTTGGGTGGGTGAACCTTATATGTGTCCATAAACTGGGGGGATCTGTGAACCCCGAGAATGAGCTTCTCTTATTGGTCCGTTCAATGTCCCATTCTCTTCCCCTCTAATTCTCCATCTTTATGTCACATTGTCTCCCCTCTAATTCTCCATCTTTGTATCACATTGTCTCCCCTCTAATTCTCCATCTTTGTATCACATTGTCTCCCCTCTAATTCTCCATCTTTGATGTCACATTGTCTCCCCTCTAATTCTCCATCTTTGATGTCACATTGTCTCCCCTCTAATTCTCCATGTTTGTATCACATTGTCTCCCCTCTAATTCTCCATCTTTGTATCACATTGTCTCCCCTCTAATTCTCCATCTTGGATGTCACATTGTCTCCCCTCCTAATTCTCCATCTTTATATCACATTGTGTCCCCTCTAATTCTCCATCTTGGATGTCACATTGTCTCCCCTCTAATTCTCCATGTTTGTATCACATTGTCTCCCCTCTAATTCTCCATCTTTGATGTCACATTGTCTCCCCTCTAATTCTCCATCTTTGATGTCACATTGTCTCCCCTCTAATTCTCCATCTTTGATGTCACATTGTCTCCCCTCTAATTCTCCATCTTTGTATCACATTGTCTCCCCTCTAATTCTCCATCTTTGATGTCACATTGTCTCCCCTCTAATTCTCCATCTTTGATGTCACATTGTCTCCCCTCTAATTCTCCATCTTTGATGTCACATTGTCTCCCCTCTAATTCTCCATCTTTGTATCACATTGTCTCCCCTCTAATTCTCCATCTTTGATGTCACATTGTCTCCCCTCTAATTCTCCATCTTTGATGTCACATTGTCTCCCCTCTAATTCTCCATCTTTGATGTCACATTGTCTCCCCTCTAATTCTCCATCTTTGTATCACATTGTCTCCCCTCTAATTCTCCATCTTTGATGTCACATTGTCTCCCCTCTAATTCTCCATCTTTGATGTCACATTGTCTCCCCTCTAATTCTCCATCTTTGATGTCACATTGTCTCCCCTCTAATTCTCCATCTTTGTATCACATTGTCTCCCCTCTAATTCTCCATCTTTGATGTCACATTGTCTCCCCTCTAATTCTCCATCTTTGATGTCACATTGTCTCCCCTCTAATTCTCCATCTTTGATGTCACATTGTCTCCCCTCTAATTCTCCATCTTTGTATCACATTGTCTCCCCTCTAATTCTCCATCTTTGATGTCACATTGTCTCCCCTCTAATTCTCCATCTTTGATGTCACATTGTCTCCCCTCTAATTCTCCATCTTTGATGTCACATTGTCTCCCCTCTAATTCTACATCTTTATGTCACATTGTCTCCCCTCTAATTCTACATCATAATGTCACATTTTCTCCCCTCTAATTCTACATCTTTGATGTCACATTGTCTCCCCTCTAATTCTCCATCTTTGATGTCACATTGTCTCCCCTCTAATTCTCCATCTTTGATGTCACATTGTCTCCCCTCTAATTCTCCATCTTTGTATCACATTGTCTCCCCTCTAATTCTCCATCTTTGATGTCACATTGTCTCCCCTCTAATTCTCCATCTTTGATGTCACATTGTCTCCCCTCTAATTCTCCATCTTTGATGTCACATTGTCTCCCCTCTAATTCTCCATCTTTGTATCACATTGTCTCCCCTCTAATTCTCCATCTTTGATGTCACATTGTCTCCCCTCTAATTCTCCATCTTTGATGTCACATTGTCTCCCCTCTAATTCTCCATCTTTGATGTCACATTGTCTCCCCTCTAATTCTCCATCTTTGTATCACATTGTCTCCCCTCTAATTCTCCATCTTTGATGTCACATTGTCTCCCCTCTAATTCTCCATCTTTGATGTCACATTGTCTCCCCTCTAATTCTCCATCTTTGATGTCACATTGTCTCCCCTCTAATTCTCCATCTTTGTATCACATTGTCTCCCCTCTAATTCTCCATCTTTGATGTCACATTGTCTCCCCTCTAATTCTCCATCTTTGATGTCACATTGTCTCCCCTCTAATTCTCCATCTTTGATGTCACATTGTCTCCCCTCTAATTCTCCATCTTTGTATCACATTGTCTCCCCTCTAATTCTCCATCTTTGATGTCACATTGTCTCCCCTCTAATTCTCCATCTTTGATGTCACATTGTCTCCCCTCTAATTCTCCATCTTTGATGTCACATTGTCTCCCCTCTAATTCTCCATCTTTGTATCACATTGTCTCCCCTCTAATTCTCCATCTTTGATGTCACATTGTCTCCCCTCTAATTCTCCATCTTTGATGTCACATTGTCTCCCCTCTAATTCTCCATCTTTGATGTCACATTGTCTCCCCTCTAATTCTCCATCTTTGTATCACATTGTCTCCCCTCTAATTCTCCATCTTTGATGTCACATTGTCTCCCCTCTAATTCTCCATCTTTGATGTCACATTGTCTCCCCTCTAATTCTCCATCTTTGATGTCACATTGTCTCCCCTCTAATTCTCCATCTTTGTATCACATTGTCTCCCCTCTAATTCTCCATCTTTGATGTCACATTGTCTCCCCTCTAATTCTCCATCTTTGATGTCACATTGTCTCCCCTCTAATTCTCCATCTTTGATGTCACATTGTCTCCCCTCTAATTCTCCATCTTTGTATCACATTGTCTCCCCTCTAATTCTCCATCTTTGATGTCACATTGTCTCCCCTCTAATTCTCCATCTTTGATGTCACATTGTCTCCCCTCTAATTCTCCATCTTTGATGTCACATTGTCTCCCCTCTAATTCTCCATCTTTGTATCACATTGTCTCCCCTCTAATTCTCCATCTTTGATGTCACATTGTCTCCCCTCTAATTCTCCATCTTTGATGTCACATTGTCTCCCCTCTAATTCTCCATCTTTGATGTCACATTGTCTCCCCTCTAATTCTCCATCTTTGTATCACATTGTCTCCCCTCTAATTCTCCATCTTTGATGTCACATTGTCTCCCCTCTAATTCTCCATCTTTGATGTCACATTGTCTCCCCTCTAATTCTCCATCTTTGATGTCACATTGTCTCCCCTCTAATTCTCCATCTTTGTATCACATTGTCTCCCCTCTAATTCTCCATCTTTGATGTCACATTGTCTCCCCTCTAATTCTCCATCTTTGATGTCACATTGTCTCCCCTCTAATTCTCCATCTTTGTATCACATTGTCTCCCCTCTAATTCTCCATCTTTGATGTCACATTGTCTCCCCTCTAATTCTTCATCTTTGATGTCACATTGTCTCCCCTCTAATTCTCCATCTTGGATGTTCCCTCTTTTGCAGGCTGACAAGTTTCACATGTATGTGACGTATTGTAAGAACAAGCCGGACTCCAGCCAGCTGATCCTGGAGCACGCCGCGTCCTTCTTCGATGTAAGTGTCGCCGTCATGCGATTGGCTGACGGGCGCGTTGTGCGTTGTTCTCCGCCTGACCGCCTGCTCTCTGCTTTTCCAGGAGATACAACAGCGGCACGGATTGGCCAATTCCATTTCATCGTATCTCATCAAACCCGTGCAGAGGATCACCAAGTACCAGCTCCTCCTCAAGGTACGAGGGACCTCCATGGAAGCCGTGGTCACGGTGGCCGCCATCAGGCCCCTCCCCCCATTTACCTAAAT